CTCTTCACAGATACGCCACTGCTGCAGGCACACGTCGGTGTGTTTATATGGTTCTGCTGGCACCAAAGTTATGACCTACGTAATTGTTTAGAAATGCCATCATCCATTGAACCATAAATTGACTTATGATTTATATGCAGAAATTTGGACACTTTTTTGTGAGTGCTTTTGACATTTTTAAATTTAAGTAGCAGGTCTCATTGACTCATTCAAAGAGCATGGAGTACAATGTTATGTCATATGTGAAGTGGATTATTTCCCTTTTCCGGTGTCGGCTATCCCCCTGAGGCCCCTTGTCTTACAATTTGGATTAAAAAGGGGGGGGGGGGCGGGAATCTCTCCGTTTGTATTTTAAACGTGGAATGAGCCGCAGCCTTTCCCTCCGCTTTTTCTCCTCGACCCGCGTGGTTACGAATGGGATGAGGAGGCAAAAGCAGCGCGCGGGAGGGGGATTTCAGTTGAACAGGATTTTTTTTTTTTTTTTGCTTCCCCCTCGTGGCTTGGCGGCGGTCCGCGCCACCCCGCCTAGCCTCTCGTGAAATACTATGGGCGACTGACCGGGTCCTTTTGTGTGTTTCAAGAACGTGCCTCCGTCCGCCGTTTGGGGAGAGTTACGCGCTTGTTAGGCCTGGGTGGCGTGGCGTGGCGGGGTGGGGCGGGGCGTGGCGGGGCGTGGCGCGGCGTGGCGGCGCGTGGCGGGGCGTGGCGGTGGCATTAGTGGAACGACCTGTACTTGCCGCGCCCGCGGGATCAGCGGGATGCGCGCAGTATACTTTAATCGGATCCCCAGACGGAGAGGTGCGAGGCGAATGAATGAAACCCTTGGAAAATCGCATGACACAAACACAAATGCGCATAAAAAAAGACGCATACCCATGCGCGAGAACACACACAACGACAAAAAAAAGGAGGCAAAAGGATTATTCTTTATTTTTCTAGCGCGCTGAGCAGGATTTTGTTGAAAAGTGGTATGTAGTAGTACGGGCGTGAGGTTCTCGGTGGTATGCATGCATGGAAGAGGAGGAGGGGTAGCCGGGGGGTGGCAGCGGGTGGAGGATGCTAAAAAGGTTGAGAGAGTGCGCCTGCCGTGTGGCGAATGGGAGGCAGATTCAAACACGGGACTCCCCC